AAAAGACTTTCCAGGAAAAGAAACACTAAGATCTCTGGAATCCAAAGGACACAGGTGGTGGAGCGGCTGGTTGAGAACATGGATTCTGGAGCCAGCCCCTCTGTCCAAAGCCACTGGAAGTCTGCTAGCTGCCTGACTTCGGGCACCCTGCATACTATAACCTTCTGATTTTGTTTCCTCTATACGATGAAATAAACAACAGCACTATGTTCACTTTCTGCTGCTGTATAACAAGTCACCACAAACCCCTTTATTAGTTCCCAGGTTGGGAGACCAGAAGTCTAGTGTGATGTGCGCTTCCTGTACAGTTCTCAGAAGGCAGCGATTAAGATGTTGGCCAGGTTCAGCTCTCATCTACAAGAGCTGGGGGGAAATCTGCTTCTGAGCTCATTCTTTTTGGCAGCAGAATTCATTTCCTCCTGGTTGTAGGACTGAAGTCTGCTTTATCACTGGCTGTCAGTCCTGGCCAATCTTAGCCCCTACAGGCCATTTATGTCCTTTGTCACATGGTCCCTCCCTTTGTAAGTCAGCAATGGCACGTCAAATCCTTATTGTGCTTTGAATCTTTGGCTTCCTCCTCTTCCTTCCAACAGCTCAAGAAAACGCCCTGCTTTTAGAGAACACGGGAGTCAGCTGGGTTTCACAGATCCTTTGCCTATTCTAAGGGCAATGGTCAGGGACTTTAATTATATCTGTAATAGCCCTTTGCAGCAGCACCCATAGTAGCATTGGATTGAATGACTAGGCTAGGTAGCTGGACACCAGGGCTGGGAATCTTTGGTGGCTGGCTTGGAATTCTGCCTACCGTGTGTACCTACTTCCTCAAAAGCTGTGAGACCTGAATTACCAAGCATGCAAAAAGCACCTGAAACAAGGTACTTTAACAAGGGAGGTAGGGGAATTTGTAAATGAAACACTGACCATATGCACTCCATCATCCATGAGAATTTGGCTGGGGTAAAAGGAGGTTGTCAGAGGCTGGGAACAAGGTTCCAATCTCTGCTTCCAGGCTGAAGGGCTTCGCTTTGATCTGTCTGGAAACGAGATGTGCTGTCTTCCTTGGGTGAAGCTCAGTGATACGCTGCTCCCTGATTTATGTCTTGCTGCGGTCCTAGCAGTGAGGACCAAGCTTTGGAATTAAGGAGAGGGAACTTGAAAATGGCCTCGTGGATTAGCCTGCTCAGAAACCATCTGCTTGCAACTTTTGACGCGGAGATGAGTGGAGAGGTTTCCCCTGGGTAGGAGTCCAGGGATTCAGAAACCAGTAAAATAACAGCTTTTCCAAAACCAGCCAAGCCAGGCTCTAACTGGGAGAAATGAGGATGGATCCCCACTCCCCATGCTACCCACACACATACTATGGCAGAGGAACGCTTTCAAATTGCAGGAGGCCACTTCTTTCCTCGGCTTGGCATCACTGGTGGAAGAATCAGAAACGCGGCCAAGGCCCTGTTGACTCTGCAGAAAGGCAAATGGCCACCATCCATGAGTAGTAAGCTGGACTCCTGAACACTGTGCGGTTGAACTGTCCGCAAGAAATCCTCTTTCAAAATGGCCTGAAGTAGTCATAAGATAAACCAGAGAGAGAGAGGGAGAGGGAGAGGGGGAAAGAGAGAGAGAGAGAGAGACAGAGAGAGAGAAAGACAGAGTGAAGAGAAGGAAGGAATGAAATATAGAGACTGTTCTGTTCATTGCATGGATGCTACGAGACGGGGACACTTCCCTTTCCCAAACCCCCAGACTGGACAGTTCTTATTTCTAGCTCCATCTTTCCTGGCTTTTTCTCCCCGACCTCCTCTATCTGCCTTGGGTTCTGGATCCTCTCAAAGCTTCCCCTAGGAAAGCTTCAGCCAATTCACTCCCCTTGAACAACTGTCATTTTTGAAAAGTTGCCCAGTCTCTTTCCTGTGATTTTCAGAGAGAGACTGGGGGCCAGGCTTCTTTTAGGGTGGTCAGGACGGAGGAGAGAGGAAGGCAGGAGCTTCTGATGGGAACGCGCGCACGCACACACACACACACACACACATGCATACATGCATGTGCGCGCGTACTTCTGAGAAATACTGACATACTGAATCTGTCACTGCGGGATATCACCTTCCTAACGAAGGAAGATAAGCAGAGCGGAGAGAACTCACATTTGCAGTGTACCTGATAGAGTTTGCACACGGAGGAAGTCATGACCCTATTTGACTTTTCTGTCAAGGCCAGAAGGTTACAGAAGAACTGACCAAAGATATGCGGGCAAAACTCCAGGCCCAGCTAGCCAGTTTTCACATATCTAATGACAGATGTTGTCTCTCCCTGAGCAGCTGGTGGGCCAGGGCCGAACCTGAAGCTCAGCCTCTAAGCATGCTGGGATATAACGTGAATTGTTACCTGTGCTCCAGGTAAGCCTAAGCCTGGCTGCCAGCGTTGCTGGTTAAGGGTCAGAACTAAGCGGCACATTTGGACCTCATTAGTCTACAGCCTGAAGCAGTGAAGATGACATGTCCTTGCGGCCTGTGATCCTGGCTCTTCGAAATTCCAGACAGGTGCCAAAGGTGTCGTCATGCCTGATGGAGCCCGGCGCTGGCTTGCTCGCTGTGATCAGCAGCTGATGGCCTGACAGAAACACTGTTCCCCAATTACGTTTGGAGCTTGGAAGGTGCCGCACTTAGTAACCTTGTGAGAGGAAAAGCAGGGAGCAAAAGCACTGCAGCTCAAGGAGGGAGCTCCGCTGAAAACTTCAGGGCCAGAGAGCACTGGGATGAACCACCGACCGCGCGGCACGGCTCCTGCATTTCAACTTCACCAAATACTGACATCCAAGTAACAAACATGGGTCGAGAGCCAACTCCCTCGAAACAGTACAAGCTCCCTTGTCTACCGAGCGAAATCAAACAGGAAGGCGAAGTAAGCCATTGCCGTCTCCTACTGGTAATGAGTTTGAGCTGTAGAAAGACACAGTATTGCCTCCCAGTACTGTACTTCTTAGTGTGGAGGTTTAAAAAAAAGGAGAAAGAAAGAAATCCCTCAGACCAATGGTCTCTTGCGGGCAAGTGGTAAAGAACACTGATGTGGCTTATTTTATTACCTGCACCTCTTTTGGCGTGGCAGACAGTTTGCTGATACACTTATTTTGGATAGCAGTTAATGTTAGGTAATTATCGGGTGGAAGCATCCACACACGTTTATAAATCAGTTCACTGGACGTAGCAACAGGGTTGTGGTTATAGACAGAGAGAAAGACAATTATCCAGGTCATTCATTGCTCCTTTCTTTGTTCTCAGCACTTCCCGGTGGTCGTGTGCCTCAGTGAGGAAGCACTTTTTCTTAAGGGCCCCAGTGCCCGGCTCTTACAGTAGAACCTTGGCTGTGATTTAAAATCACACGAAGTTCCATTTTTAACATGATCAGTGTTATCACAGTCACCACACATCTGCTTATATAATCATCCTGCTAAACAGTATAGTTTGAGTGGAGGGAGGGCGTCCTCTGATTAATAAGAAAGTTGAGCCTCTTCTGCTGGCCTCAACCCTTGCTTGGGAGACTGCCACATTCAACCAGCCGCGCAAACCCGCCCTGTGACTTTTGAATACAGCAAGGTGCACGCTTTACCAGCCCCTACAAATCCTCCATTAAACGACCAACATCATTTCTGGTCAGGAAAAATTTTAAAACACATATGGTGTAAAGCTCAAGCTTAAAATTGGTTGCACAGCTTGGTGAGAAAGATTTTTTTTTGTTCTGCTGCCAAACTATTTGCCTGGACTTTCCTCCAGGCCCAGAGTAACACGGGGAAGTTTAAGGCCACAGAAATGTGGCTAAAGGAATGCTGATCTACATTTACAAAGCCGCTCACAGTCCCTTATTCTCAACTCTGCAATAGATGTGCCTACAGTTTTTCTAAGGGCAAAATTTCCTAGTTCACTGGTCCCCAGTCCCATGTTATTGATGAAATAAAAGTAATATTGAAAATGACAGTGCCTGAGAAGCAATCTCAAATTGCCTTTTTACTGCATGCAATTAGCAGTGCAATTGAGAACTACTTTCTTTCTAATATAAAATCATCGGCCATAGAGTTGCAATTGGAATTCACCACAGTGATTCGGGCCAATAACTGTCAACTTGTGCCTCTTTTTATTTTCTAAACATTTTTTTTTCCCCTTGCCCCCTCCAGTTTTAGTACTACAGGATAATGAACCAACAGTTAAATTGGGCTAGCGCTGAGTTTCAACCAAGATTGATAGTCTACTCATCTTCCGGAGGGACCATAAAACCACTGATGACATCTCATTTCGAAATCACTTGTATTAAGAGTAGGGTGTGGTACAAACGTGAACCCTGGGAGTGATATTTAGACAAGGTCTGTACTTCAAAATAGTCTTTCACTCATATGAAGGCTTTCTAACATAGCTGGGGGATCTCAGCAAGGGATACTGTACCTTCTCCAACACCGCCCCCCCCCAGACCCCCGCGGACCTTTGTGTGCTCTGACACTAGGCAGAGAGAAAAGAAAGGGAAAAAGCTGGGTCTCAGGGTCTAGCATGGGACCTGGAAGGCGCCCACATCGACCCAAAGCGCAGAGATACGGGCTGAATTCGGCGCAGCTCCGGAGTTGCCCTGTTTGGAAACCCCTTCCTGGGAAACAGAAGTCCGGCACCTCTCCACATCGGCCAAAGAGAAAGCGGGGGCGGGAAGGCACCAAGGAACGTGTGAATTAAAAACAGCGAATACCAGGGCGCTCAGGGGAGTGGCTGAGAGCGCTTTTGGCCGCGCTGCGCTGTTACACAAGAAACTTTCACGCACTGAGATCTCACTGCGGGGATAAACTGAGGTCTGCAAGGCTGGTGCGGCCCGGCTGCCGGGAGCACACTCTAAGCGCAGCGCCAGCGCCCCAGGGCTGGGAGGAGAAGCCGCCGCCGCCCGGGTGCAAGCGCAGTGGCGGGGAAGCCCGCGGCGCGGGTCGGCAGGGACCGGCGCGTCCGTGCGCGCGGTCTCGGGGGCGGGGTCCTCACCTGTTCCAGCGGGCCACCTTCCTCCGGTAGTAGCGCAGCGCCTCCTGGCCGGCCAGGAGCACGTCTTCGGGCCCGAGGAGAGGCGGCTCCTCCGGGACGCGGTACAGCGGGTGGGCGAAGAGGGCCCGCAGCTTGGAGCGCGCGCGGCCGCGGCCGCCGCCGTCCTGCGCGGCCCGGGACGCCGCTCGGGAAAAGTT